CGACATTCTCGCAGAATCTCCTGAAGCTGGCCTGCTTTGCAGACCTAATCTCCTTATTATATAGGGTGAGATAGCTTCGGTATGCTGCCCAGACCCCCGTACGTTTCGCTCTGTTGAAATGGCAGCGTACTTTCTTGCGGAGGTYCGCTAGCTCCTTTGTCCACCACTGGCAGACTCGTCTGTCAGTATGCGCTTTGAGGGGACAGCTGCTATGATAAGCATTGATTACAGACTCATTTAGCTTAGAGAGCCCATTCTCCAGCCCGAGGCCTGAAACGCTATCATCTGTCTGCTCCCTTCTGCCTAAACCATTCCTTAATATCTCCCTGAAGGCGTTCCAATTTGCCCTCCGAGGATTGCGTCTAGGGGGGAGTTGTTTAACCTCTACTGGTCTGACAAAGAGGGCTGAGGTGATGTCCAACACCTCCCTTCTACTTATAGTTATGAACGTGGGTTCACACCCTACATTCTCYATTTCTAAGTTAYTACCTACAATGAATTCTAAGAGAGACTCACCTCTTGTGTTGCAATCGGTGCTTCCCCATTCCACGTGKTGAGCGTTGGCGTCACAGCCTATGATGGAGGGGGAGCCTGCGCCGTCTGCAGTGCTCTACCAGCCTTACCACCATCTCCGGGGGCGCTGTAGGTGCCTCCCCTGGGAAGTATGCTGAGGCCAGGATGANGACCCAAGGCTCTTGGATCAGCAGCATGCCCAGCTTCTCCACAGTGAACCTGCTGGTTATAACGGCTGAGGCTGCAGCCGCGTGATGCAGGTTCACTTGGGCAACTTCCGTAGTTACGGCCATTACAGRATGGGTTMWAGGAAGGGCAGATCCTCTTCCCCACCGTCCACCGTACTGCTGTCCATTGGGTCACCTAATTCTTCGAGGAGCTCCTGTGTGGAGGGTAGCTCATCTGAGCAACCTTCTTTGGAAACGTCGGTAGTCGCCGAGAGCACTGCCTTCTCAGTCCTACTACCGCATGGCTGCTCCGACACCACGTCCACCTGCATGTCCAGTGCCTCCGGGCCTGCTCCAGGCSCTGTCGGTCTGTCCGCAACCTTCTTCTGGAGAGTTGSTGGCGTTGCTGCTCCCTTGCTCCCGGTGGCTGCAGGCCTGTTGGGCCGTATGACCACCGTGCTGAACCTGTAGTACAGGCGAAAGCTCGCTGCCCGGACGTACCTGTACGACTCATCGTCGATGAACAGGTTGAGTCTTCATCCATTCATACCTCCGATCTCCTCCATCTTGCTGCTCACGACGCGCCAGGACGAGATGCTGAGTCCCCGGTTCTGGTTTTYCACCAGCCSSAAGGCGARCTCATAGGGCTTGTCCCCGCACCGAGGGAGGAACATTGTCATGCTGTGCATGATTGGCAAATCTTCCGCCCTCTTCGCGCAGAGGACAGGACCCTTCCAGCCNCACCGAGGGAGGAACATTGTCATGCTGTGCATGATTGGCAAATCTTCCGCCCTCTTCGCGCAGAGGACAGGACCCTTCCAGCCTCCGAGCTTTGGAGCGTACTCCTTCAGCCAGYCAGCGGACGCCTCATCCACGCAGTCTACCTGCAGCATTCCTCCTCTAAACTCAACTCCCAGGAAGGACGCCGCATAGTCGTCCCCTCTGAACACCTCCTCCATGAGGAGATCTTGGAGCACCGTGAGCTCCTCCGGTGTAAGCGACTCCACCGGGTAGCTGAGAGGCAGTACAGCCATGCGAATGCCTTTTACAGCGTCCGCATAACTCCGCCGCCCCTCCTCCACCCGTTGGGGAGCCGGTCCAGATCGTTGCCCTCCGGGTGCCTTTGGGTCTGTGCCCCTCAACCTTTTAGAGCTGGGGGGCTCCTGTGGCGTGATCTGGCCGCTCTTACGCTTTGCGGCTTGGGCGTACGTGTCTGCGGGCAGTGCCCTGCTGTCGCCACGTCTTGACGCCTGGGTGGTGCTGATCGGGCCGCGGTTGCTGCCTCCATTACCTTTCGCGCGAGCCGACACGTTTTTGAGCTCCGTTGCCGGTGTTGCGTTGCCTTTCTTCCTGGCCAGAGCCTCTGCCACCTCCGGGGTCATCCCATCGCGGAGGTTCTGCAGGTACCAATTCATAGTGGAACCGCTCATCCCTTTCCTGCGTGGATCATCGCAWCCACCGGGYTGACCGGCTTCTGGGAGGGGGCGTTGCCCACCTCTTCCGCGCCTTCTCCTTTTTCTCTTACGACCACCACCGGGCCCTGCCCGATGAGACTCACCTGAGTCCGACCCACTACACCTTTCGGCGGGGGCCCTGGTGGCACTTGTTGCTGCTACGGCTGCACCCGSCGTTCCCCCCAGGCGAGCGCCGCTGCAAGAGGGCACATCGTCATCYTCCCTAGCGTGCTCCTCAAACAGCGCCCGTTCTTCTGGCGAGAGAGCGTCGAGGAAGCTAAATTTCCRTCTAGCTCCCTGACCCCCTTTGCCTGCCGCTGCACCGATGTCCTTTCCGATGTCCTTTCCGTTTGTGTCTGCATCAACGTTTGTGTTGTTGTTGTTTTGTTTCTTCATGTTCCTCTTGTTCTTACGACCCTTGGCTCAACGGGGTGAGCTGTCGGGTCTATCAATTTGTATGGGGAACTACGGGGTCCGCCGCGCCAGAGCCCCATGGCGCGGTAAGGCCACAGTTACTCCCCAATTCGGCCCGGTKTTGGGGAGGCTCCGTTAGAATACAGCCGAATTTAACCTCCCGCCTGCAACTCACCCAGTGGGCACGGGAGTCGCATAACACCCCGGATTCGGAGGTGGTAGCTCTTGGTTAGCGCACGCATGCGGATCCCGTCACCCCACATGGCCAGTGCCAACGAGCACCAGCCGCACGGGTTGGGGGGCGCCGAGTATGCCTTGCGCCTAAGCCCCTGCACCGCGACAAGGTGCCTACCATTCGCAGAGGTACCTCTACTCGGATCTAATCTAGTTGTTTAATATTTCGTTCTTCTAACTATAACAACCAAGAAAATAATTAGTATTTGTTTGATCTTGGTACGCACCTACTTAAACACAATAACAACGTCGTCTGCTCGTTCGGGTCAACGTTGTTTGTGATGTGCCATGCAAAATTTTGTTAAAATCTCTCCTTCTGTTTATTCGTGAAGAAGGAACACACAGACACATTCACAAATTTTTGCCTTTATAATACTATTGTGATTGCAAATGCTCCAAATTAGGATTAGTATATCTATCTGCTTTCGAAACTGAGTTCCAGCCCAAAATATATAAAACGAAAAATTTGTTCAAAACTTGGTTAAGCAGGATGATGGTAACCAAGTTATGAAAGGAGTTAGATCCTCTCCTTTGCACTGGGAAGCTGAAAAAAGGCAGTTGCTACGATTAGTCACTTTGGGCTTCCAACCGTCTTATTACTTTATTGGCTGCCGAATCTCAGTGGGTTGAGCGTTTGGTTCTCCATATGTACGGACTTAATAATGCAGCCGCGATCAACTTTCAAGCTAAATATGTATTTTTAAAACTATTTGTTAGCTCTGAAATCAAGCCTGTCAAAACCCAAAATTTTTCTAAAAAGCAAAAATTGTTATAAAAACGCATATGATTCTCTGATTTTGGAACTCCATAGAGCAGATATTGTTATCCAATATATATACTCCATGCAGGTGATAAGTGTCCATATAGGCAAGTTAGGTTGCAAGAATTTTAGAGCGGTATTTTTGCTATCTTTCCTTACTTCATTTGTTTCATTTGTATGTCATAAACAAAAGTCATACTTCCATATTTTCGCATTATAATACATATTACAAAAGTCAACGGTGTTCATTTTTTTATTAATAGCAAACAGTGATTGTGATTATATGATGAACGTTGCTATGCGAGTATTTTGTTGATTTGCACAAAATATCACATATTATGAAAAAACAAAAACTAGAGTTCAATTATGAGCGAAGATGAACCAACTCGCGATGATAAAACAAATTCATTTATATTTTGCCTTTACTGATACCACAATGTCATCAGTCGACGAAAGATGCGCTCAGTTGGAACAAGTTACTAAAACTTTTGGATTTTTATTAATATTGATCAGCTGAAAACTTTTACGTGCACAGCCATTTTTGAAAATTGTAAAAATTTAGAATTGTCATAAACTCACATTAGATTGAAGTATACAAGTATAAGCAGGTGCAACTGATTAACACAACCCAGTACAAACTATTGGCAGAAAAATTGCTCATAAAAATTCAACAAAATTCAATTCCTCAAACAAATTAAGAGTGAAGAAAGACTGACAAGCTTGGCTACATTATCAAAAAGCATAGTTTCCTAATACTGTATACTTAATGTGTATGTACATACATACACATGCATACAAATATATACTCAGCAACAGTAGCAGAAGAAAAAGTGTTTAATTTTTAAGTCAAGCAAGAAAAAATACGTAGGTTGCCTTCTATATTTCAGGATTTGGCTAAACAAGTGTTGAAATCTGGAAATTCGCAATGTTATTTATTATCATATATTGTATAGTATACGGCATACATTGACCGATATTTTCGGTGAAAAGTCAACTATAGATACTGGATCAAATATCCGGTAGGGATTGCGCGTATTATTCGCGCAAAGTTTTATTGCGTTATATTAATTACTTCTTCATTTGTATACTGGAAGGAAAGTATCAGATGGAATTGGTTGTAGTTTCGATTTCTAACATAAAAATGTTTGGATAATGTCACGTACCGAATTATGTTGAAATCTGTCGAGCAGGTCCTGAGATATTAGATTTTACCTAAAGGTGGACGGTGTTAACCTTAGAACCGTGACATAGCTGTACAACTTAATCTCGTGACTTGGGCACTCAGTGCCCAGTAATGTATTTTGTATGGAAATTTAGACTTTTAAGACGTTTTTTTTATGGAAAAGCCAAAATTTCGCTTGTTTATGTAAATAATTTAATGAAACTTGGGATTATTGCTACAAACAAATGCATTTTTATTGAAAACTGTGAAAATCAAATAAAGTTTTAATCTACGGTTCTAAGGTTAAAAAAAGCGAATAAAGCCCTACCATATCATCTGTCGGTAATAGTGCATAAAAGAATTGTCCTAAGCGAATTTGACTTTGTAACTCTGGGAGTCTAGGAGTTAAGCTATTAGAAGGTTTGGTGCTGCCCACTTGTTTTAAGTTTTTAGTCTACTGCAATCTTCTGTGCCAAATTTCTTTTATATCTTATTTTAGTACTTAGTTATGGCACTTTGTTTTATTTTAAAGTCATTTTGTGGGCGTGGCAGTGGTCCGATTACACGTATCATCTTACTTTTTTTCATACAACAGCTACACCAAGTTTCATTAAGATATCTTAATTTTTATTCAAATTACAACTTGCGCGGACGGACAGACAGACAGTCAATTCAACTGCTCTTGTCATCCTGATCTATCTCGTTTAGTTTTAGTGGTTTCGCAAGAAATCAGGAAAACAAACCCCCGAATACGAATCACTCTTCATCTAGCTCTCACACATCGACTGAAACAACAACGTTTTCGATCACTCACAACATTGATTTGAGGAGTTATCCTCACGGATTTCGTAAAAAATAAACTAAGAGGTTGATGCGTTCAAAAGGCATACTTTGGAGATACCTCAATCAGAGTGGCAAAAGTGATTCGATAATTGGTTCAAAAGCATGGATAAGGGCAGAGATTTTAATGGAGAGTATTTTGAAAAACAATAAAACGATTTTAGATGATAATAATGTGCTTTTGTTTTCGAGTCCCGAAATATAACAGAGAACATATCTGTGCGTATCGAACATGCATTTAGAATGTTATCTAATATCCAAGAAAACTACGAAGAGTTCTGCAAACCTGCTGTGTATTGCATAGTTTCTTATCGAAAAATAACAACACCACTTTTGATGCTCTAAATCATGGAACAAGATGATGAGTTCCTAAGGATAAAATGACAGCTTTCAAAGTGGCGCAATAACTGCTGCTGCCATAAGAAATCAATTTGCTGATTATTTTTATAACGAAGAAATGTTTCAAATAAAAACAGTCTACTCATTCTAATTCTTCAGCAAATTTACTCAGGAAAAATAAAATAATCCTGGTGCTGTGGGAAAAAATTTTAAGTTTTTAATCCCGTTCATTTTTTAATTTTTATATATAAAACCGAAACTCTTTTTTGTTATGTACCCGACAAACGTCTGAACGGAAAGATGTGTAAATTTCCTAAATTGTTCGTTTATTCCTACCACCACACTAATCACACCTACAAATGAAAAACGTAACACTTTTATTTATTTATTTTTTTTTTGCATTTAAATTTATTGCCTTTTAATTAATATTTAGAAGCATAACCTTTTGCTTGGAGACGTCGTGGCATAGATTTCACTAATTTCTTGCAAAAATCTGGATGGAATTTAGCCACTTTGCCATTATTGCTATTTTCAGGTCAGTGATTGAGAGATTGAGGTTTGCAAATCGTTTTTTGTATATACGTCTAGTCACTTCTTCGAATGCAAAAATGACATTTACATTAGTCTGGGGGTTGTAGAGGTGGATGCAATAATTGCAGAAAGTTATCGATGAACCACTGCTTCACAACTTCAGAAGTGTGCTTGGGATCGTTGTTTTAGTAAAAAGCAAAACATGACTTTGCTTAACATTTGCTGTTAATATATCAAGATATGAAAATCGAATCATATTTCCAGCTACAAATGTAAAGCTTGTACTAGACATACAGCCCCAAGCCATCACAGAGCTACCTCAGTGCTTAACTGTATCACGTGTATGTTTGCGTTCAATTTTTGTGTTCAGGTTTACCAGACGTAGGTCTTGACATCTACTGCTATATGTATAAATATAAAAGAAAGTTGTGTTAGTTATAACCGATTTGGATGAAAATTGGTGAGAAGATATCTTTAACCCTTTCGCGACTACCGGAATAATACATCCCATCAAATTTCGAACTTCTGTATTTTCTTTTGGTTTTGTAAAACCTACCAAGAACAAGTTTAAGTATCGTCTTTGCATTGTAAACAAAAACATAACGATACGTTTTTGCATTTTGATGTCACATTAAACGGAATCTCACAATTTCACAAATTTTCATCAGTTTTGTTTCGTTTTTTGGCAAAATCAGTCGCAACAAAAGCCTGATCATAAATTTTAAATTTCGTTTATGTTAAGAAGAGTTTAATAAGTGGAATCAAGCGATATATTGACCTTTTTTGCTACAAGAGGGTAAGATACAATAAATTTTATAAATGTGAGACATATAATCCCAATAAGATTTCTACCTGGGATCACTTCCCAATAAGCTTTTTACATGAAATTAATTGTCCCATTATGCTCTTAGATGGCGAAACGAAAGTTAAAACTTGAGGACTTGGAAGTTGGATACTGATTTTGAAGACTCTGGAAGCGAATACTTGCAAAAGAGCAGCGACGGAGAGGCTGAAAATGCTTCAGAAATTGAGGACTGTGTTGATGTGACCGATGCAACCACCGCAGTAAACGATTTAGTTGCGCAAGTAGAAAATCGTGATAATCTTGATGTGGCC